GCCATACATAACTCAGGGCTCAGTGATAAGTGAGGACTTGTAATAGTGAGGGTCTAAAATACTATAGCCAGTCCTCATATCCAGAATGTCACAAATTTCACAATAAAGTGAAAACCTCTTCCTGATGTTAATTGGCAAAGCCTATGGTGTTGACCAAGACAGATAGCTAGGTGTTTGTGGTAACTACTTCTGGAGTACAGATGAGGGAACCGAGGCAGAGAGATAGTGTCCTGTTGCCCAGGATGGAGCCAAGAAGGAGAACTGCACTGGGAACCTGGCAGGCTATCTAGCTCCAAAATTTGCTCCATAATCATACAGCAGAGATTTGGAAACCAGTAGTGTTTAGGAGGTGGTAGAAGACAAGAGGTGGGGTGGGACTGGGGATGTAGCTCAGTGCTAGAGCAACTGCCTGGCGTGTGGAGGCTTGGGTTCCATCCTCAGCACAGAAATAGATAAGAGATGAAGTAAAAGCCAGGCATGGTGGTGCATCTGTAATCCTGGCACTGTAGGGGCTGAGGGAGGAGGATTGCAGGGAGTTTGAGGGCAGCCCAGAGTTCAAGGCCAGCCTGAACTGGCTAGTGAGACCCTGTCTGAAAAAAAAAAAAAGAGAGAGAGAGACAGAGAGAGATGAAGTTAGGCAAGGAGGTTAGAGATCATCAACTCTTAAGAGGCAAGTGTAGGAAAAAGACCAGTACAGTATTAGATACTCAGGAACTGACACAGACTTTTTTAAACAAATAAATATTTACTGAATGATTTTGAGAAGCAGCCAGAACAGTGGAAGGCAACCACTGTTCCCAAAGCAAAGGAAGAAAAAGCTCAAAAAAGTGGAGTGGGGCTCGGGTATGGCTCAGTGGCAGAGTTTACTTAGCATGCTTCAACCCCTGGGTTCAATCTCCAATACAGGGGAAAAAATAAATAAAAAGAGCTGTCTTATTTATTGCTGGGACAAAATAACCAACACCCACAAGTTAAAAGAGGGGAGGTTCATTTTAGCCCACAGTTTGTAGAGGTTTTGGCATGCAGAGGAGAAACAGTCCATGGCAGGGTAGGCAGGAAGCAGCCAGCCTGCCTCCTTCCTGTCCCTTTTTATTCCCTCAAGCTACAAGCTGATTGATTGGTCCCACCCACACCCAGGATGGGGCTTCCACAATCCATTCAGCCACACTGGAACTATGCTAATCCATTTAGGGGACTAATCCAGATATCACACTCTTAATCCATGTTCACACACCTTATACCCACCATGTCTGAAAAGCCCCACTTATGAGCATATGAGGCTTTAGGGGGACATTTAGATACAATCCATAACAGGAAGGGGACTGGTCAACATACAAAATGCTGAAAAGAAATCAAGCTCAATTCTGAGAAGTAACTCTGGATTTGGGAACAAGAAGGCCATTAGTGAGTAGTAGTTTCTTGGGATGGCAGAGCAGGTATGTGTTGGTAGATATTTTAACAACCACCTCTCCCCCCAAAAGAAGGAAATATATAGATATAAAAATCTACTTTTATAAAGTATATGGCACAGGATTTATGATTAATAGAATTTGTAATATTTTTAGTACTGGTAGATTGAACCCAGTGGTGCTCTACCAGTCAGCTATATCTCCAACTCTTAATGATTTATTTATTGATTGATTGATTATTGAGACAGGGCCTCCCTAAATTGGCCAGGAAGAATTCAAGCTGGTGATTCTCCTGCCTCAACTTCCATAAGTGCTGGAATTACAGATGTGCATCACTATGCCCAGCCAATGTACAGTATTCTCTACTGTACACCCCACCCTTGTGTCTGATTTCAGAAATAGAGTTGTTTCCTGATTATAAGTGTAATTCTAACAGGAATATTGGCTATTTTTTACTTACAGGGATGAGTAAGACAAAAAAAAAAGTGTGAAGGTACAAATTGAAACTTCACTGGTTCCTCAGTGATTGAGTGACTTCTTTTTGAATCTTGAATCTGATAATAGTTTTCAAATCCTGAGAAAATTATTTTGATTGTGTCATTCACAATGTAACAGTTAACAGACATATTTTTCCCCTCAGTATTGGGGATTGAGCCCCAGGTCTTCTCACTGAGCTACATCCCTAAACTATTTAATATTTTTTATTTTGAGACAGAGTCTTGCTGAGTTTCCCAGGCTGGGCTCAAACTTGTGATCCTCTGCCTCAGCCTCCAACAGTCAAGCCTGGGCTACATAGTGAGACTCTGTCTCAAAATAAAAAAGTTTTTGGTGTTGGGGATTGAACTCGGGGCCTCAAGCATAAAGTACTACATATGAACTCTACCACTGAGCTGCACCTCCAGTTTAAATAAAACTTAACTGTAAGTTTACATCATTTAATTTTTTTGAAACAGTCTAAGTTGCCCAGGCTAGTCTTGAACTTGTGATCCTCCTGCCTCAGTTTCTCCAGTAGCTGGGATTATAGGTGTGTGATCAGCAATTGATTGACTGATTGTGCAGTACTGGGTATTGAACCCAGGGCCTTCATACTGAGCTATATCCCCAGGTTTTTTCTTTTCCTTTCTTTCTTTTTTTTTTTTTTCTTGACAGGGTCTAAGTCCCTAAATTTTCCAGGATGTGGCAGAACTTGCTATCCTCCTGCCTCAGCCTCCCAGAATGCTGGGATTACAGACCTGCATCACAATGCCCAGCTATTATTTATTTATTAGAGAAGGTCTCACCATGTAGTTCAAGCTGGTCTTGAACTCACCATGTAGACCAGGCTCATCTCAAACTTGTAGTTATCCTCCTGCCTCAGCTGTTGAGGGGTGGGATTATAGGCATGGGCCACCACACCTGGCTCATTTAATTTTTAAAAGCCCTGTTTAACAATCAGCACACAGAGTCCAGAATTTAGTTCAGGTGTTCCTCCACCTCGGCAGGCGCAAGGGCCCAAGTTTGATCCCTGGTACCCACCCTCCGCCTCCAAAAATCCACAATCAGCCCACAAAGTTCTTGGAAGCCAGCTTTCCCAAGTGAGTAGGAGCACTCCTGGGTGGGGGTAAAGGGTAGACTGCAACAGTAGAAGACTTTCCCTATCAAGGCATTAACTGTGGCCAGCAAGATTACCTGCCTGCATCTGAAATGAACAGACATTTCTCAGACAAAGAAGTAAAAGCAGCAAATAAACATATGAAAAAATGTTCAACATCACTGGTCATTCGAGAGA